GTTGACCAGTACTCTATTTGGCATTCTTTTTCAACTTACATCAGCTTATTGAGAGGAATAGGCAAGAGGCTTTAATACCCAGATGCAATGTACAAATGAGTGCATTGCCTGTGAGTTTCAAGAGTTTAAACGGGACTATAAGATAAGATACTTAGAGCGAAAGGACATTCGTAGATATAGGTAATGAAGTATTTTGAAACGTTTACAGGACCTTAATTCGTTCGAAACTGGAAAGTGGACTCCATGCACTCAAATGAGGTGCGTAAACATTTCCGTCTTGATTACAGCTAGATCAGGGGAGATCTCATAGAGACCTACCTGATTTTGAGGATTTGGGAAAGTGCCTTTAATTTCTCGAGGGCTTCTAAAAATAAAGTGTCCTTCCGTGGAAGCCCCCTCTATGCCGTGTTTAGTGGTAGGTTTACATTTACTGTCATGATCTTCAGAGGCCGTCCGACAACATCAGCATTTACGCAGTGTTGATGAAAACGTCATTCGGAACACAGTGATTGAATGGTTCCACGGCTCTCGGGACCAGTATGGTGGAATGGGGGTTAAAGGAAGGATGTTGTCCAGGAAGGCTACCTGGACTTACTAAACTCAGAGGACATGGTTAGTATCATCGTACGTGCATATCTTCTCTGTTTAGTTGATTTGATTTTAAATCAATTGTTATTAATTATGACTGTACGTATCTAATATTGGGTTTTGTGTTATTGCAGGAACCTGCAAATCTTGATGAATGTGAAGCAAGTACTTCACAGTATCAACAGCCCTCCATCCTTGAAGGAATTTATCCGAACTATGACGAACATTCGCTGAATGAACAGTGATACTTGTTCGAACGATACCAATTGTTTACATTTATGTACTTATAATTTTCTACAAATAGTTTTTTTTTCAATATATTATCCATTTTCCATACTACGCGCCTTGTACTTTCAAGAAACAATCTATTGGGATGCTTGGGGGTGGAGGGAAATGGGGCTAAAAAGTATTAGGATAAGGTGTCATGCTGCCCGATTCTTTTCCAAGACGGGGATAAATGGGTTGAAATCCCCGTCAGGAACCCCGTCTTAGGTGGGCGTACAGCCCCGTTTAGCCCCGTTTAGCCCCTGCCCTAAGTGGGGTTAAATGGGGATTGTGCTGGCAGGGTATTTCTCTCTGGCAACAACTGTTAGTGTCTTCTACCAATGGACATTCTTCTCCATTCGTTTTCAAAGTGACGTGTTCAGGCCTTGAACGAACTCCCAGAAGAAGTTATAATGACAAAGATAAGAGACCCATTCTAACGTAAATTTCATGTATATTTAATTGACAGTTATCTTTTAGCCGGACAGGAAGGTATTGTTACTCTTATGACCCACGTCTGGTACACGTAATTAGCACGATCAGTGACTTTTCATGACCAATGTACCCAAAACCAGCATAAGAGAGCAAAAGAAGGCAATCGGCCATGAGCAACATGTTTGAACACAAATTAAGTCAGTCTCACACGAAGGCTGTCTATATTTATTTGTCCGCTTCATGAGACATTGTCCGAGAAATCGACCAAGCACAGCTGACGGGAGGTTGCTAGCCAGACAGCATGGCAGCTCACGGACGTCTTAGTGTGCGGTGACACCTTTTGGGAATGGATCCATTTCTAGCAATTTCCCTTCAAATTGTTCCGTACCTCTTATTGCGTGTATTCGCCTGTATGAGCTGCATTGTTCGACGAACACGAGTTGTCCGGCGTATTCAAAGCAATTTTTAGTCTACAAGTGCGGGGCCAGGAGTAAATCTCGGAAACAGTCCATCCGAAGGGCGTTTTATACAAGTTTTGGGTCCTAGCTGGCCTACTGGCATGGGAAAGATGTCTAGCAAGATGTCGAGAGGGATTGGTGCACGCGGTTTAGGTCTGATTGGTTTACTGCAATGTCACCGTGCGATCTGGTTTCAGTGACAAACCCAGGTGTCCTCTCCGACGCAGACATCAAACAGCATGCTGCTTCTCTGCGCTGTTATCGTAGCCTCAATCCAGT